AAATCAGTTTCGGACTCGCACTTAATGGTCTTAATAAGAAGTTAATTGAGACTGCATCTAATATGGTGGTTTTTAGTTTTTTTTTTTTTTTTTTTGCCCAATACTCTAGCTAGTTACTCTTTAGTCCTTCTTGAGTTAAGTGAACTTAAGGGATTTTTGCACAACTGTAGTTATTGCATCTTTTGTTTGTTAAGTTGTATGGAAAATTAACCAACTACTTATTTGTCCAAGTGGAAGTAACTTTTCTTTTTTTTTTAAAAAAAAAGATTTTAAGTTCGAGTTTTATAAATAAAAAAATAAATATTAGAACAATTTTTTTTATGGGATTTTCTATGGGGTGCGACCTAACTCGACTCTAAATTAATTAAGATTTAATATGATTTTTAAATACTGAAGAGTTTAATACAAAAAATTGTATGAAAAAATTTAAAAATTGAGTTTTTTTTTAATACAAATGAAATATGGATGATTTTAATTGAACAGTTAATAAAATTAAATCAACTTTTATTATTTTTAACAATTAAAAGAATGTTGTAATGCAATTCACTTTGCATGAAATGTACTTCAGTTTTCCTGAACAATCTATAAAAAAAAGTGAAATAAAAAACACATTAGAAAAATTGTTTTAAAAAGTAATTAAATTTATTTAATCATAAGCTTTAATAAATTAATTAAGTGAAGTGATGATTTTAATTATTAATATAATTTAAGAAATTTTTTGATATATACTCTTATAATACAAATTAAGAAAAAATTAATTACAGTTTAAAAAAACAAAAATGTAAATTAGTGGAGACAGAACAGAACTAGAAAGGAACAAATATTCAGAGTAAACCGGTGAAGAGAAACAACTCTTCTTCTTCGCTGAGGCTTCCTAGTAACCTTCGCTGAGGCTTCCTAGTAACCTCCGCTGAGACTTCCTTGCAACAAATTAAGAGCAATATGCAATTGAATTCTATGATTTAGATTCCAATTGAAAATAAACTTTATATTCAATTGATTAGATTGCGGAAAGTTCTTTCAAAATTTTAGTTGTCGGTCCTATGTTTAAAAAAATTAATTTAATTTTCATTTGGCAGCCAAGTCAACCTAATAGTTAATATTTTAACGTTGTTAATGCCAAGTTAGCACTCCCATTAACGGTGGTTAACAGAAGGACCGCGCTTGGCCCCTTTACCAAAAGTTAGGGATTTTTACGAATTCTTTTTTGATACAGAGATGATAATAGGCCTTTTTAGTAACATATATTTTTATAGGGATTTTTATAGGAACTTATATTTTTGGTTGGATAGTAATTGATACACTTTTTTTTTTTTTTTTTTTTTTTTATAGAGTAGAT